TTGTTTTACCTTCCTATATAGAAAGAAAAAAATCCTTGGGATGTTACGTAGTGTAAAATATTGAAGCAATTTTAGGTAAAACATATTAATACTACACAAATTGAGATATATAGCCCACTGCAAATTATGGGTATAATTTGATTTAACATTGATCAAAAGTTTCATATAAAAGTTGTCATGTGTTTTCAGAAAATAAAAAAAATTGTATGCAACCAAGCTACTGCATCTTAAATCAAGTCCAAAATCTTTCTCAAAGTATCTACTGTTATATTCTTCAAAGGCAAATGATGTTTGTTTATCTGTTAGTAAAAATTTGTCCAAGTTTAGAAAATGAATCAGGTGAAATACCGTGGGTAAAGAATCTGCCATGGCATTAGTTATCTCCCTTTTAAGTCACCTTCTCTGGGAAAATCTCTCTGGTATCTTTCTCTCTCTCTCTCTCTCTCTCTCTCTCTCTGTGTGTGTGTGTGTGTGTGTGTGTGTGTGTGTGTCTCCCTGTCTCTTTCTCTCTTTTTCTGTCTCTCTGTCTCCCTCTCTGTCTCTGTCTCTCTCTCCAGGCCCACATATCCACACACATTTATGAACATACATATATATGCATACTTTCAAAATAAATCCTTCATTAATTGGAGTATAGCAGATAAGTGTATCTTAAGCAGCAGTTCAGTGAGTGTTCACACCTTAAATGTACACATATGACCACTACCTGGATAAATAAAAGAACATTACCAGCACTACTCCAGAAGCTTCCCTCTCTTTTTTTTTTTTTTTTTTAGATTTCCCGGACTGCTGTGGATTTATTTTTATGTATATAGTTCTGACATTTCTTTTTTTTTTTTTTCATTATACTTTTAAGTGCTAGGGTATATGTGCACAATGTGCAGGTGTTACATATGTATACATGTGCCATGTTGGTGTGCTGTACCCATTAACTCATCATTTACATTAGGTATATCTCCTAATGCTATCCCTCCCCCCTACCCCTACCCCATGACAGGCCTCAGTGTGTGATGTTCCCCTTCCTGTGTCCAAGTGTTCTCATTGCTCAATTCCCACCTATGAGTGAGAACATGCGGTACTTCATTTTTTGTCCTTGAGATAGTTTGCTGAGAATGGTGGTTTCCAGCTTCATCCATGTCCCTACAAAGGACATGAACTCACCTTTTTTTATGGCTGCATAGTATTCCATGGTGTATATGTGTGATGTTTTCTTTATCCAGTCTATCATTGATGGACATTTGGGTTGGTTCCAAGTCTTTGCTATTGTGAATAGTACCACAATAAACGTACGTGTGCATGTGTCTTTATAGTAGCATGATTTATAATCCTTTGGGTATATACCCAGTAATG